CCCCGGCCGCACCTGGGTGCACAGAGAGGGGGGAGCCGGCTCGGCCTGCCCTGGGTTCGGTCCCCGCGTCGTCGTGGCTCACCTGCCCTTGGTGCCGATGCAGCAAGGCCTGCCCTTGATCTGGCAGTCCATGTGCGCAAAGCCCGTGTGGTTGGTTTGGGTCTCATAGGTACAAATCTGCAAGCAGAAGGGAGAGGAGCTGTGGTGAGGGAGGGGGTCGAGGCTGCTCCCCGCAGCCCCTGTGCCCGGCTCCTCACTCATTGCCCGCCAGGCCACCTTCCGGCCACCACCAAGGCTGCCAAGGTGCCACCACGTGGAGACCTCGCAGCGCGCCCCGCAAAGAGGGTCTGCAGCCGCTGCGGGCTCTTACCGGCCATCTGGTGATGTCGTCTGGCCACACGTGGGGTGGGTTTGATGCTGGCTCCTCGCATGTCCTGGGAGGATGAGAGGGACGTGGGCTATCAGTAACTGTTTCCCCCAACATATCCTTCCCCTCCAACCTAACCGCCCTCCGGGGCGCAGACAGCTCTAGGGACCTGCTAGCTTCCCCCTGCAAGCTTCCTTTGCTTTGGGAAGATTTCTGTGCTTTTAACTCCTAGAGCACCCTACAGCAACATGCTCTGCAGGTTAATGTCACTGTAGCCGAAACATCTGCCAGGTAATTTCACCTCCTTGCAACATCACATACTCCTGCTCATCTCACCTGAAGATCAGGGCAGACAGGATGGTTCAACCACAAGACAAGCAAGGCTCCTGGGCTTTCTGGCTTGCTCGTTGCTGCTTGTGCTTAGGGCAGACCTTGCCTCAGTTTCCCTGCCTATTCCCTCTTCCTCATCCCTCTCCCCTGGTGTGTACAGGGTACTCAGATAGCCAGCCCCTCAGGCAGATGAATTCAAGGCATCTGAGCTGGAAACTCAGCCTTAAGTGGCACGTCCCACACGTGCTCTGCATACAACCAGGTGACCGTGCCATCTCCTCCCAGACCTCACTCGTACCTGGGGTCCTGATGGCACACGGCCCCTGACGTCCGCTTCTTGCCAGAGCCCATTGTCGGTGCGTTGGCGCCCGGCCACTTGATGAACGTTGCCAGCGTCTCCTGCGGGGACGGGGAGACGCAGGTTGCAAGCAGCAAACGTGCTGCTCTAACCCCTGCGTGCATCACACACTGGGGCTGCAGCTGCCTGGGGTTGCACTGGGCAGAGATGGTTTCTCCTTGCCCTCTGGAAAGCTCAAACGTTTCTCCAGTCCTCCATGCCCGCAGGGGAGGAGGCGGCGCAGCCCACCGCACGCACCGAGCAGTCCTGCGGCAGCGTCTGGATGCAGCCCGAGTTGTCGTTCTGGACGCAGCAGCCGGAGTTGCGCTCCCGGTCCCTCTCGCGCTGAATGAGCCGCTCCACCTGTCGGTCCTTCCGGATGCAGGGGGAAAACTTGGCCCCCAGGTGGATCAGGTCGATCTGGGAAGGCGGCACAGGTCCAGGGGATGCTCTCCAGGCACGGAGGAGGTCTGTTGCCCACCCTCATTCCCTGGCACATCTCCCTTCCCAACAGCTGCCCCCAGAGCTGACCTCCAGGAGAGGTCAGTGCTGAGAGACTCCCCATGCATGATAGCCCCATATCTGAGTTACCCCCACGGAGGGGAACACAGCCAGGAAGGGGACAGGGTCTCTCCTGACCATCCCACCGTGATGTCGTGGCTCTGGGAAGTGCTGCTGAGCCCCCAGCCTGGCCTGGGACCAGGCAGCCAGTGCCCAGAGGGACTGGGGTGCCAAAGTCCCGGGGGGAGCAGGTTGGGAAGAGGGTGACTGCAGAGTAACTGGGGTCAGAGCTCTGCTCTGGGAAGAGGAGAGAAAGAAGCACCCCAAGGAGGCCTCGGTGACCCTCCACCCTCGTCTCAGGGAAGGGAAAGTGGTGGCCGGCTGGAGGACACAGCCTCGGGACTGCAGCCTGGCAAACCCCTTACCGAGCTGGGCCCAATCCAGAAGTTTTCCTGCTGGATGTACTTGACGCTTTCGTAGACACCTTTGTTCCTCAGCACCTGCCGAGCAAAGCCAGAGTTGCACAGCCGGCTTCCATGGAGTGGGGTCGGAGACGCGGGGCACACGGCAGGAACAAGCTCAGCTCGGGACATGAGCCTCCAGCACAGCCTCCCCTCGGCTCGCCGGGGTCTGAGCAGCCCCCGGTGTCCCCAGGAAGCCGATTTCTGGGCAGCACCCCAACGGGATGATGCCTCCTTTGGGGTGTTTAACACACCCCGCCGGGTGCCAGGCTTGCTTTGCTCAGAGCTGGCTGGCTGCCACCAGGGAGCCAGACATGTCACCAGGAGGGGCCGGCCCCGGTCGGGAGCTCTTAAACTTACTAACTGTGTCGTCACATGCTGGGTGAAGCCGATAGGGGCAATGCCATATGTGCCTATGACCAGCAAGGTGATGAGGATGTGGACAAAGGTGATCCAGTAGGTGAAATACGGCCTGCAGAGGAAAGAGGCTGGGGTCACGGACCAAGGCCGGAGCAGCTCAAGGATGGCGGCAGGCAGGGAGAAGGAGGTCAGGCACAGAGATGCTGCAGTCACCCAGGCAGAGTGGGAAACGCAGCCACCAACTGCGGCAATGCGCATCCAACCCCAGCAGGGAAGCAGCCCGGGGCCCCCAAACCCTGATCTCCAAGCATCAAAGTGGAGACACAGCTGTCTGACCCATGGGAGAGCCCCGAGGAATGGGGCTGGCTCTTGGGCTGGTCACCCCCAGCCCACGCACGCCGTCCCCGTCCCGCTGGTCCTGCTCACCGGTGGCTGTCCGTGTTCTCCAGCTGGGACTGCACTATGCTGCTCAGGCTCCGGCGGTATGTCCTGTTCAGCCACTTCCCCACCACCCCCAGCCCGTAGTAGCGCTTCTTGCGGTCGAAGGCAAAGTGTTTCACTTTGGAAGCGATGCGCCTGCCTCTCCTGGGAGCGGGGCCAGGGCCGGCGGAGGCTGGGGTGAGCTGGGCACCCTCCCTTCTGCAGGGAGAAGAGATACCCATTGAATCTGCCAAAAGGAGCCAGCCAAGAGCCCACCGTGTGCAACTCCACAGCCTCATCCCAGGGCTGGGGCAGCCCAGAGGATACCCTGAGATAAGGGCTAGGGGTATTCTCTTGGGTTCATCCTAATAGGAGTGCGCTAGAAGATGCAGAAGTGCCCCATGGCAGGGAGAGATGGTGACGCTGAGAGACAGGGGGATCTCTTCAGACAGCGGAGACAGTACGCGACCAAGAGATGGTACTCACGGAGTGAGCTGCTCCACCTCCGGGGACACCCTGACATCCTCCCCCACCAGGTGCATGCGCAAATACGTGGCCGATAGAGGCGGCGACTCAAAGACGTCATCTGGCATGGAGTACGTCTCGTCGTGCATGTCCATCTGAAAGGAGCACAGAAACTCCTGGGTGATGGCTGAGAAACCTCCTTCTGACTAAGGAAGGCCACGATGTCAGCCAGTCCCAACCTGGCAACGGAGGCTGGTGAGAGCATAACCCCCATTTACATCCCACTAAGTCCTTGTTGCAGGGTCTGAAACGCACCCACGACCACAGCTTTGCTTCCTCTGTCCCCGAGGAGCATCACCGAGATCGGGGCTGTGCAGTGCACAGCAAACACTGGTCCTCGCTACTGCCAGGGCAGGGCTGGGAGCTGACACAGGGGTCCCTTTGCACATACCCAGCCCTGAACGCAGCTAAAACCCTTCTTGCTGCCATCTCGGGTAAGTGATTGACCATTCTGTGCTGAGCCATGCAGGTGTGAGCACCATGTCCCCCAGCTCCGGTGGGCTCCAAGCATTTGTTACATGGACCATCTTGGACCATCTCCGAGGAGACGCTGGGACTCCAGATCAGAGAACCACTTTCTCCTAGAGACTGCCCTCAGAGCAGAGAGGAGACGGGACCATGGGATGACCAAGCTCCCCACTGATGGTCTACACACCATCGTCTCCCTGAAAGCCCTGCTCCGCCCTCAGCCTTCTCGCAGACCTGCACGGGCTCAGCGCGGAGGAGCTCCCCCACAGCCTGACCCCACCAGCCGGGCTGGCTCCAGGCATGGGGCCCCTTCCCCGCTCCGACGGCCAGCAGGGAACTGCGCTTGCCTTACTGAAGAAGGACGAGTCCAGGGTATCGGCAGCGTCCACCATGTCCTCGTCCAGGAAGCTGGGGTACACAAAGCTCCTCTTGTTGCTCCTCCGCTTCTGAGCCAGCGGCTCCAGCACAGAGCGTCCCTTTTGCAGAGGAAGCAAATAAGGATAAGAAACAAGAAGCCCCCAGTTTCGCCAGCGCTGAGGGTTTCTCAAAGCCTTGGAGCATTCCTCCCCAAAGCCGAGGCCGTGGCAGCAAGCATTAAATACCAACCAGCCATCCTATCCCCCGGCGCGAGGGCGCTCAGCCAGCGGGAGCGGCAGGGGGGCACCGCCTTCAACTCCTGAGAGCCAGCAGCGTTGGATCACGACCACGTTAGTCAGCACGCAAGTGAACTTGGGATCCCCTTTCCAGTCCCTGGCCTACAAACCTGTCTGCAAGGCTTGCCCAGGACTCCCCAGGGGCTAGAAAGCCTCCAGAGAAATTTCTCCTGCAGCAAAAGCTCACCGGACCTGTCTACAGTGAAACCCCAAAACTGGTTTTTCTAGGGATGCCGTGCAAAATAGTTGTACTTTGGTGGTCATGTTTCCACCAAAACTTCTCCTTTTAAGCTGAGCTTAAAAACCTTCCCCCCTCAAATCTGCACCAGAGGGAGAGCGTGATCTTTGTGCAAAGCAAAAAGCCAAGAAACAAAGAGGAGGGGGGAGGGACAGAGCTGAAAACAAACCAAGAAAGGAAGAAGAAAATCCCACTCCCCACGACTCACACGGAGAAGCGCTGCGGCCGCCTTGTAGCTCATGTGCGCGACGGACTCCCTCTTCCGGCGGGGCAGGCGGCTGTAGCCGGAGCGGATGCTGTTGAAGGAGGCTAAGGAGGCGACGCCGGGGGTCAGCGGGGGCAGGACGTGGTGGGGTGTGTGGGGGCGATCGGTCTCATCGGGATGGCGGAAGGGACGGCCCCTGGCCAGTGGATCTACGATCTGGGAGAAGGCAGAGACCTCTTGGTGCTTGAAGAGAAAAGCTCCAGACCAGGACCCCGATCCTACGCCACGAGCTCTACCTTGGGCATCTTGGCTGGCTTTGGCGACTCGGTGCCCTGGAAGGAGGGCACCTCCTGGCTGGGGAGCTCCATGTCGCGGTAGGCAGCCTTGAGCTTGCCGTATCTCATGCTGCAGTGCTGCAAGCTCTTGCGCTGCCAGTGCTGCCGCTTTCCTTCCCAGTCGCTGCTGACGCCAAACCATTGCGCCGTGCCCCTGCGCAAGGGAAGGGGACAGATACGCGCATTGCCCAGCTGATCTCCCTGCCAGGTTAGCACTTGACCCACGTCCCAAGCCCGGCACCGCAACCCCAGCCGGGCTCTGTGTGCTTGCGTCCTGCTCTCAAGCAGGTGATCTGAGTTTGGGTGTCTCAGCTTAGCCCAGAGCAGGGCACAATTTCGACTTGACTATGGGTCTCTGGAGGGACAAACGGTGTTGTAGAGGGGTCGATGGTGCTCAGGTCTCACTGGAGAGCTAACACCACTGAGACTTGCACGGTGCATAGATAGTTTATCAGCTCTGTGCTGCAGCAAGAGAACAGCTCAAGGCGTTTGTGAAGGTCCTACACAAACAGCAGTGGGAAATTTTCTTGATCTATAAAACAACCATTTGAGTCACTACTAAACAATTCTTCTGCTGTGGGATGATTCCTAGGCAGACAACAGCGAGTCAAAACAAAGCCACGCTCAACCCTCCAAGGCTTTTCCTTTCAAGCCCTGACTCTCCCCATCCTCACCCCGACGCCTCTGGCTGGCACCCGCAGCCATAACACCCAGCCTGGAGCTTGGGGATCCCTCCAGCCACCCCACCACCGCCAGAGCCTGCCATGCCCTCGTGCCAGCCCGGGCCGGCAGTGCCCAGCCCTCCCGAGCCCTCACTTGCGGATGCTCTGGGACAGGGAGGTCTGTCGGCGGAAGCCGGGACGTTTTTCCGAGGAGCTGTCATATCTCTTTGACCTGGGCTCCTGCAGGCTCTTGCTCTTTCGGTAGATGGGGACCTTCGAGGGCTGGAAGACAGGACACGTAACTGGGGAGTCTGTGTTGCTGCTGCTCTCTAGGAGCTCCCAAGCCCAGCACGGGATGGAAGGAAACAGGAATTTCTGCAGCGAGAAAGGATCAGCTTCCCCACAGAAGAAACCAGACCCTTTCCCCCACTTTGCCAGCATGACTGTGCTGAGCCCAGCCTGGGTTCAACCACTGCTACATCCAAGAGAGCATCACGGCCCATAGCTGGACATCCATGTCACAGGAGACGGGCTGGCACTGCTCACCCCGTGCCCTGGAGGAAGCTCCAGAGAGGCTCCCAGAGCCACCACAAACAGACGGGTCCCGGCAAACCGGTGCTGGCTGCCGGAGACCCCCGCTTACCTCCTTGCGGCTGCCGTCCTCCTCTGCCTCCCGGGGGGGGATGACGATGGAGAGGTTGGGGGGCTTCTTGCTCTGCCTGCTGGAGCGGCTGCCCCCGTTCCTATCGCCGGACGACATCTCGGGCAGGCGGCGTTGGGCAGGCTGCGAGGGAGGGAGGGGGACGAGGAGTCAGCGCGCAGGCGAGAGGGGAAGGCCGGCTGATGGCTGTAACGCCTGTTTCACGGCCTCGCCGCATCCCCTCCCTCCTCATCTTCTGCAGGGTAAGCGGATCCCTGCCGGAAGACATCGGCAGAAGCATTAACCGTTAATGGGGCTTTGTGCAGGGGAGACCCCAGGAGGCAGGGAAATGCTTTAAGCACTTCCTCTGTCGCTGGGAAAGATGCGCAGATTTCTCTTCTCTAATTGCTCCCTGGGGGGGGACCACGGCCGCCACCAGTTTGCACCAAGTTTGGCAGCATTTTAATTCTCGGCTCCCTTCTCTTCCCAGGCACAAGTCCCGGATGCCTCATCCAAATATCTCGGGAGCCAGCACATGCTTTTTGTGCGCTGGCAAGAGATGGAGCAACATGCAGGCCAAGAGGAGAGGCAATCCGGGTTTGAGTTCAGGGCCGCTCGCGTGCCCTCGCACTCGCAGAATCGAAGGTTTCCTCCCTGAAGGCTCCGGGCCCATGGCAAACCCCAAGCAGGGCAGGTAGCTCCAAGCAGGGTTAAAGCTACCCAGGTCCTACAAGATGCAAGCTCGCACACGGAGAGAGGCTATGCCTCAGGAGGAGACGGGGAGAGCTCCCTTACTCAGCCATTTAAGATCACACGATCAATCAGACAGCCGTATCTCGCTCGCTTTCAGCATCAGCAGCCCCAAGGAATAGGAGGCTTGTTTTTCAAACCCAGCCCATGGCTCATGCCCCACAGAGAGTCCCCAGGCAGGTGCCACCAGCAAGACTCTCCGGGGAGCTGCGTGGCTGGGGCGATGCTGCCCGGAGCACTGCAGCGATGGGAGCTTCACCCTGACGGTGCCTCCAGAAGCGTGGGCTGGAAAGAGGCCCAGATCCACGCAGGATCATCACAGTCCCAAAGGCACCTGGCCAAGATGATGGCCTGTTCTCACATAGCCCAGGCACTGCGTCCCTGACACCCATGCCACCTCCCCAGATTTGGACAGGCGTGGAGGGGGCGCAAAGGAAACGTGGGCTCCTGATACAGGTACCTCATCTCTGAAGGTTCAGATCCATCTCTAACTCCCTTGGGGACGCAGTTTCTCCCAGCCATCTCCATGCCGGACGCACCTTGGGGTGGGGTTTGGTCACCCCCTCCACCCCAGCTCCCCTCCTGGGACTATCCGGCTAAGGGGCTCAAGGCGCACCGACCTAAAAGGTTATCCCAGAATCACTTTGGCTGCCCGGGGACTGCAGGTTAAGCAGCCTAAGTGTGTCTACAGGCACCGGGCTCAGTAATCCTGCCTGATGCGCGCTCACCCGCAGGGATGGCTGATGAGAGCCCCAAGGTCAAGGGGCTCTGGGGGATTTCGGTGCCGACGCTCACCCTGCCGTGTTTAGAGCCAGCCAGGCTGGGGGGGCGGTGGCGGCGAGCAGATTTGGCGCGGCTGAGATGCCAGGCACGCTACGGGAGGGCAGATTAGCAGCCAAAGCTGCAGAAGCAGGTCAGCTGGACTCCCTTTCCGTGTCACTGCCGCGGCTGAAGCGGGGCACGACGCGTCACACAGGTGATGCCTTTCACCAGGCCAAGAAAAAAAGCCAAACAGGCAGATTTCGGGCAGGCAAGCTCAGATAAGGAAGCAGGGTTAGGAGCAGAGCGAGGCATGGCAGGAAAGACAGGGAGACAGCTCCTCGATGCCCCCGCGGGGGCCGTATCCTGCCTTTGGGCTCGCAGAGAGGCGCCAAGCAGGGAGGTCCCAGCCGGCCGGGTCCAAGTTCAGCAGACGGGTCCAGGGCAGCATCCTACCGCCGGGCCGCAGCCCTGGAAGCCCCTTTGGCGCCCGAGAGCTTTGCCCCACCTCAGGGATGGGAAGATGTTTCCATGCTAACGCTGGCAGCCCCAGGCCTCTGCTTCCCCTTTACCGCAAGGGCCCTCAGCTCCTGCTGCCTTGGAGGTACCTCCCAGCGCCGGCGTCCGGAGGAGAAGCTTCGAGGTGGGCGCACCGTCGGCCGTCGCTCGCTTCCCAGTCCATCGCCAGCATGAGCGGACGATGCCACAAACCCAGAAACTCTCTCTCTCGGCCACAGCTCCCGTCGGGGCACTCCGAGTGTCCCGCTGTCCCAGACCCCCGGCACGACGCCTCGGCTCCGACAGGCATACTGCCAGCCCCACTCATGAGCATCCCTTGGCTTCCCACCAAGGCTGCAGGGGTCCCAGACGGGCGCTGCGGCATGGCCACAGGGATGGTGCTGTCTGCTGTGCTCTGCCCTCACCCCAGGGCCAGCAGCAGAGGGAAAACACGAGCAGCCATCTCTGCCGGCACCCCTGCGTGGGAGGGAGTGAAGGCCTGGACACCCCGGCAGAGCCCCCTCGGGGGAGCAGGGGTCCCGCTGGGACTCCTCTGCTGCCACCCACCACCACCGAGCCTAAGCTCAGGGGACCGAGCGGTGCCACCGGCTGCAAAATCCTGGCTTTACCCACTCGGCCC